TTTGTCTGTGAAGGTTTTCATTAGTAGCCATTATTATCATTATTATCATTATTATTATTATTATTTTACTATTTAGAAATATTCAGCATCAAACACGAGCCATTTCTCTTCTGCTCAATCGGCTTCACTTAAATCTAATTCTATTTAACTCATAAATAATTAGTTGGATAGTCTGCAGGAGGTTTTATTGCCTCGGGTCAATCCAACCACTGTTTAAACGTGATTATATCAGAGTTTGTGAACGAAATAAAAAAGGACAAAGGTGCAGTGAGACGGTGCGCGTCTGTTGTGACGAGCAGGTGTGTTGTCTCTGTGCAGATGAGGAGGGTTTGTCGGACAGAAACGACTCCAGCAGCTCCGGAAACTCTCAGAAGAGGAAGAAGCGGAGACACAGGTTGGAAACTTCACGTGTGTTTCGTTCAAGTTTGAGCTGAAACCTCCGCGGTTTGACTGACGACTGAAACTCTGGAGCTGATAAATTACACGAACGCTTTAATAAAATGATGGCTCAACGTTTCCAGTGACACATTTTAACTTGCATATATTTATTGTAATCTTGCTTAAATAAATATAAGGAAGCGCGAAACTGTTCGTTTGTCTGTTACACGCAGTAAACTCACTGGACGTTACATCATTGAGATGTAACTTCTTTCGTATCAAAGTATTTTTACTTTCCGAGAAACAGAAGGTTCCACATTTATTTTGATTCAGTGAGAAATGATGAAATAGATTCAAAGTGACTCAGCAAGATGAATAATAAGTGTTTGGTTAAAGGCTGTGATCCAGATGCGTCCTGGTGAAAATCAATGAAATGGATAATTAATTTAGAATAATAGACTGGCTCCCTCGCAGGAACCGAGGAGCGTGCCCAGGTGTCAGCAGGGAGCACATGAATGTGAGATACAGCTCCAATAGAAACTGTGCGTGTGACAGCTTTACGTTGGCTCACACTCATGTTATTGATGAGGTATTGATCAGCATGTTGCGATGTGTCCTGCTGCAGGACGGTGTTCACCTCCCACCAGCTGGAGGAGCTGGAGAAAGCTTTCCACGAAGCCCACTACCCCGACGTCTACGCCCGAGAGATGCTCGCCATGAAGACCGAGCTGCCGGAGGACCGGATACAGGTGAGCCCGGTTAGTAGACAGCTGATGGTTCCCAACAGGCGGGTCAGGGGCCATCCAGTGGGCCAGAGGAGAGACTGGAGGGGTCACGACAAGTTTAATGGAGAGAAAGAAAATAAAAATATTTCACAGAACAAACAAACAAAAATATCTTAATTCACGATCAACTTGCTGCTTTCAGTCATGTCCCCTGGTCTTCATCAGCAGATGGACTTTGACTGCAGTCAGTTTTTGTGTTTTTTGTTATTGCTGTTGTTTCTAGTTTTCATTGATGTGTAGTTTCTATCCAGACCTGGTTTTAAACTCCACATGTTGTTCTGTGTTTCTCCAGGTGTGGTTTCAGAACCGACGGGCCAAGTGGCGTAAGCGTGAGAAGTGCTGGGGTCACAGCAGCGTCATGGCGGAGTACGGTCTGTACGGGGCGATGGTGCGACATTCTATTCCGCTGCCCGAGTCCATCCTCAACTCCGCCAAGAACGGCATGATGGGATCCTGTGCTCCCTGGCTGCTCGGTGAGCCGCATGCACGTCAGTGCCACACACTTGCACCACACATGCACTGACACACGGGTTTATACAAACTGAGCACACAGCCCCAGTTAACGTGGTGTCCTCACCATAATGTGTGTGAGTCCAGACCCTGGTCCAGCTTATCGCTCTGTGCCGTAGACCTCCACTGGTATCCACCAGCTATTACCCCCCGAGTGCAGCAGTGTGGCTCACTGGACTCTGTCCTCAGACACTGTATGAAGTGACGGCCGTCCTCTGTCGGCAGTTTCATTATTAAGACACTCAGTAACCAGCCAGGACACTAAAGATGAAACCATTCATTAACTGACTGACAGAAAATTTGCAGCAGTTTTGTTAACTGATCAATAGTTTGTCATTTCTTTTTTTAAGAAGCTGGTTAAGAGTTTGCATTCAAACATTCAGGACAGAGGAACAAGAAATCTGATTCTGAAAAAGTCTTCACTTCCCTGAAACACTCTTTTGATCATAGGTCCACAGTCACACTTAGCTGCTTTCAGGGAGAGGGGGTCGAACTGAGCATGTGCAGAACACGTTTCTGGTTATTCTGGCACATTTCCGATGGGAGGAAATAAACCTGTAGCAATTGTCCCCAACTACTAGCTACAGCCCTGGTTTGAAGAGGGATGAACGTTTACAGCGTGCACATCATGATATGAAGTATTTATGATTTTAACTGGTGTATCACAATAATAATAACTGGACTGAATCTGTGTCTCTGTCCTCACAGGAATGCACAAGAAGTCTCTAGAAGTAGTCAAAAAGTGTTCCAGCAACCTGGAGTCAGATTCGACTCACTGCGACTCATTCTATGAGGCTTCGGAGCGACGGGGCGGCCGCAGTGAGGCCCGTGAGCCGGAGCATGAAGGAGGGGGGGAGGATGAACTGCTGGAGGAGGAGGAAATGGAGGGGGAGGTGGCCATCGACCTGTCCAGCTCCTCCAAACAGCAGCAGCAGGATGTGGAGGGCAGAGACTCAGTAAAACCTGCCTCCTCACCACGACAACAGAGTGGCAGCGAGTCGGATGAACACAGCTGAAGGTCGTAGGGGTCAAACACCATCAGAATGAAGATGTGGTGACAGCTCTGATCAAAGTGCACAGACATTTGATTGGCTCTTCTGTCGGTGAACACAGCCAATGAGTGAATAGACATTTTGTTACTATGCAAAGTTTTTAGTCCATAGAAAATGTTAGCACGCTAAAATATTTATGCTAATGTTGTTTACTGGTAATGTAAAATGAAACATCATCGTGCTACTATTTTAGCATGCTAAATATAATTATACATATTTGTATATGTACATTTATACATATAAATAGGCTGAAACATAACTGTTACATTTAAGTGTTAGGATGTTAACATCTGATACTGAAACCAATGAAGTTTAGTGACAAAAGTACTTAAATGTTGAATATTTGTCAGTTATTTCAGGGTTTCCAAACAATGAAGCTACTCTGCTAAAAACATTTTCAGCTTCGCTCAATCAAATCGGGCTAATCGGGCAGCTGGCCACGCGCCCCTGGCCACGCGCCCCTGGCCACGCGCCCCTGGTGCTATGCTAACATAGCAAGGAACACCACCGCTACCACAGTCAGACTGTCTCTGTGGAATTGGACCAGTCGAGGATTTTCTGACAGATGTGTGAACTGTTTGAGGAGGATGTCAATGGGGACGTCTGTGTGTTTTTAATGTATTGTACTGACAGTGAGTTTTATAGCCATGTTTTTTTGAAAAGAAGAGGCAAGTTAATGTTTTACTGGTGTTGGCTTCTGTGTGTTTTATAATTTGTCAAGCACTGATCAGCCTGACTGGGCTCTGCCAATGAATGTAATGTAAATGTAATATTTAACAAAGTCTGTTTATTATTATCAAATGTCGCCAGCAGCAGGTTCGGTGGGGGGGCGAATAAAAAAGTATTTTTGGAATCACTGGGGCTTTTATTTTTGTCATTTATCATTATCAGCACAACCCAAACAGGGTTTAATATATTGATTTAGGTTTGATAAATGTGACTAATTAGAATGAATGAGCATTAGTCAGGCTAAATAATCTTTGTTATGGCCTAGTGCCACAGCTTCATTGCCTGAAAGGGAAAATTGTAGTGTCACTTTTTAGTGATTACTGCCAATATTAAAATTAAATCCTTTAGTGAAATTAAATTGATAGTGATATTTCACAACCAAGCAAATCAGGCAACTGCCCAGCGGCTCCAGAAGTCCAACGTTCACTCTATATAATCTGGATGTAGACATAGAAATTTACACCACTGAAACTGAGTATTACCTCCAGCAGATCCTCCATCCTCCATGTTGTGGCTCTGGTCTTTGATGGACCCTGAACTATTATCAAGTTCATATAATTTCAAGTTGTGTTTTATCAAATAGTTTTAATTGTGTGTGAGTGCGTGTGTGTCAAGTAATCAGACAAAACAAGGTAAGGTCATACTGCACAGATGTGTGATGCACTGTCCCCTAGCCTCCTGTTTCACTACCTTCTTTTTCAGAGGGCCAATGGTATCAAGTGTATTACGCAGGAAGGCTGCAGTACTATCAACAAGATTATCGATTTGTGTGGGAGTAAAGTTAAAGTGGCCTCCTTCCACTGTGTTGGCAAACGGCACTGAAGTAGATAAAGATGGAATTATTTCCTTAAACTTGGTAACAGCATTGCCAGATAGACATCTGCTGTAGTGGAATTGTTTCCCACATAGAGTATAATCCATTAACGGAAATTCAAAAGTTATTAGAAAATGGTCAGACAGAAGAGGGTTATGGGGAAAAACTATTAAGTGTTCAGTTTCGATGCCATATGTCAGAACAAGATCAAGAGTGTGATTAAAACAGTGAGTGGGTTTATTTACAGTTTGAGAGAAGCCAACTGAGTCTAATAATGAACAGAATGCATTGTTGAGGCTGTCATTGTCGGCATCTACATGAATATTAAAGTCGCCTACTATGATTATTTTATCTGTACTAAGCACTAAATCAGACAGAAAGTCTGAGAATTCACTTAAAAACTCTGAATAAGGAGCAGGTGGACGGTATACAATAACAAACAGAACAGGCTTTTGAGTTTTCCAGTTTGGATGTGAGAGACTCAGGGTGAGACTTTCACAAAAACACTATAAAACAAGACAATGATAAAGAAAGCAGCTAAAAAATTACCTTAGTGGGCCTATTTGAAAATACTGTATTTTCTTAAGTGACTTAATTCCATAAACATGGTTGAAATATGAGCTTAAACTTCTAAATGTATTTCTCAAAGCTTAACCAAAAGACATTCACATTTCATTGTGGATGTATTTACTCGGTTAAATATGATCCAGATTCAGAAATACGGATGTCACTGTGATTTCAGAAGTTCTACTTATCTGCCTCAAGGTGTCTGTTCACGTCGCAGCCTCAGGGGGGCGTCACCGCGCTGGACTACAGCCTTCACCACTAGCCTACCAGGGACGGCTAAGTTAGAAAATAGTCTAGAGAACAAAAATTCAAACAGGACAAACCACAAACATTAAAATTGTATGTTAGACATAGAGGTCAAAAGATTCTAGGTTTCAATAACTTGGTTAATGTTTTCAGTAAAATGGAATCTGGTTCCAGTTTTTCAAATGTTGAGATTTTCCCCTTTTCTCTGATTCATCTGTAATTTTAAGACTCTAATGAATCATGAACATAAACACTGATTAATCTAAAACAAGAAGAAAAGTTTGTCTGCGTTTTTGCTCTTTTCCTCCTTTGTGACAATAACACAAAAATATTTGAGAAGCTGAGAAAACATTGTCATTTTTACTTAAAAGAGAAAACAGTCACTTCTCAAAACTTGGTTTTACGTTGTTTATTTAAATATATTCAGTCTTATTTTAAAGAGAAAGAAGATAAACTAAACAACCATGCGGCCTACATGGTTAGGTATTAGGGTTAGGGTCCAGCAGGAACTCTGATCTTGGATCTGGACCTGGGTTTACGTGCTGAAGGATCTGGTTTAAACAACTGTATAAATCTAAAAACTGACCTCAAACCACTTTTCAGTGCAAAGAGAAAATAATAAACAACACGTTACAGTTATCTGAAGACGCTGTGATCGGTGTGACACGTGATTATCGAGCACACCTACAGCTTCATGTTGACACATTTCATAATTTCTTACCTGAAGCCCTTTTATTCTGAAACCCGGAAACACCAAACACTCTTAGCCTGACGTCAGGACGCAGACAGACAAAGATGGACTGATAGGAAGATGAGTCACTCTGTGAATCGTTAAGCAATGTTAACTACCCCTCACGTCAGAGACTCTGTCCTTCTCCTTCTTTTGGCTGTTCCCGTTAGGGGTCGCCACAGCGAGTCATCTGTTTCCACCTAACTCTATCCTCAGCATCCTCTACTCTCACCCCA